CACGCCCTACCTCTTTTCCCCCCCCCCCCCCCCCCCCCCCCCCACCCCCAACCACAATCCCCCCCCCCCCGACCCCCCCAAAAAACAACAACAAAAAAACCCACACATCCTGACTGTGTAGAAAATGGATTGAATGATGGATCCCTCCTCAAACTGGGAAGGGCTGTGTGGTGGCAGCATAACCTCTCATAGGTTGCAATTCCAGCCAATGAGATGAAATATTATAATTTTTATGAGGTTTCTAGGCCACCAAATTTTAATGCGGATTTACTAGCCCTCTGTTGGGTCGCTGCCAAACAGCCATATCTTCTGCTCTAGCCTGTTTGGTGCAGTGTTGTTGTTGCTGTGTTGGCTCGCCTTGTCTTTCTAATAACCAGCCTGTTAAGGTCTGACACAAAGTCCCCTGCCAAAATGCAGAGGGTACAGAGACCCCTTTGCACTCCTAACCACTTTGAGGGCTTAAATGGTGCAGAGAGCCTTGTAATGAATAGTTCTCTGCATTTACCTCCTATAACTTTAAAGAGCTAGGTAAAATTTTTTATCCTAAGTTATGGAAAATAAAAAACAAAAAATGTCTTGGATAAATAGGAAATGAAAAATTATAACGTTAAGCATAAGATAGAGAACAGGATATTTAACAAAAGATTGCTGAGTGTACTTTAATGTTCTGCTTTCCTGATGTTTTAAAAAATCGAGCCCAGGTGAAGCTGCTTAAATTATGGATTTTGGTAATCACTCTTCACTGCCAATGTTTTTGTAACTTTCACATATTTTATTACTCAGATTATTGAATATACAATACAATTTGCAGAGATTCTTGAATATTTACCCAGAGAGTACATGTATCAATGTGGTATGTTGGATAGTTTAAAACAAAGCAAATCAAAGGTAACCTGCTGTTTGTGTGTTGATTACACTTACTTGCTTTTTACTAATATTTTTATTATCCCTAAAGACTAAATCCCTAATATACCTAAATATTTTTGTAAATCCAGCATTTCCAAAGATTAAGTACTTTTGTCACAAATCAACTTTAAATTTTCAAGGATACATAAAACTGTCATCTAAAATCCCAGTGCTGTTGATCTCCATAGGTAAACATTATGTGTCTGGGACCATGTCTACATTAGGAGTGCTTTGCCAGTATAGGTATATGGGTGTATTTTACCGGCAAACACCTCCTATTTTAGATGACTCTTATACCAGCAAAACTACACTTATTCCAACCATCTCAAATGAAATAAGCGATACCGACATAACTACATTTTTCCTGATATAACTGCATCTACAATTAGGGGTTTGGATGGCATAGCTGTATCAGTCAGGGACCACACCCTCTTCATACTTCTGATTGACATAGCTATACTGGCAAAAGTTTATAGTGTAGATATGGCTTTATTTTATGGTAATCAATAACTTTTCCTTTTTATAAAGATGCACAGTTAAACACTGTAATCTATTTTGGTTAGTTCACATTATAGTTCCCTTACGTGGCTTTATTGGCCAGCAGGCAGTACTCTTGCATCTATCAGGTGATTATCTTCTGAGAAAAGAACACAATTTATATGCATCAATTTCAATGTCGGTTGGCACAGTGTTTCAAGAGGGCAAAATCTGTGTTTAGTTAAAATCTGGCAGGTCTGCAACAAGAGATGGCTGCCTCTGGTTCCATCAGGGTACTAGCGTTCTGCAACGCAAAGAATGTAGTGAGAGCAAGGATTTTAAGTACATGCAGCTATTTAAATTCTATCCTGGCTTTCTCTGAGTGGTGGTGAACAATTTTGCCAAACCCTATTCAGCTTGTAGCCCAATCAAAAGACACGCAGACTTGAACAGGCACGTTTAAAAAATTTAGCTCCGCTCTTGGTCTGTTCTACTCAGCATGTTATTAGGTTTGATTTCTCTCCCCCCTCCCCCCAATTTGGTGCATATGTGGTACAGAGAACTGTTTAAAAATCTGTGTTTTAGAGAGCAAAGACTATTTCATCTATAGGTAATAAACACTGTCTGTGGTCTCCAGTCACTTGTACTTCGCCATGGCCCGAGACTATTTCTGGATGTGGAACCCCATAAAATGTAGGCTGCCTTTTCTGCAAACATGCCTCCACTTACACCCTGACTACGTCTGGGAGGGAAAGTAGGATTGTTTACAGGGAGGGAAATGTATAGGTTTTTGTAAAAGTCAAATATCAGGGTAAAGACTTAAAGCCTATGCTGTTCCACAGACAAAGTTAAGATACTTTACAAAATCCCTTGGCTGGTGTTTCTGGAGTATTGATCTTTGGTTGTCTTTAGTCATTTTTAAAGTAAACTTCTAAGATATCAAAGCACTAGCAAAAACCATTAAAACCTTATTTGCTCCATGACAAGTGCCTTAGGTAAAAGTTGCTGGCAGATCTTGGCCTATAATAGCAACATGTTTGCTGATATACAAGGTAATTCAGTTTGTTGGCAGGATATGTTTTTGATGCAGAATTGCTTCCCAAGGTATATGTAATCATGTGGAATGTGAAATCTCTTGAACAATGAGTATGTGCTTAGTTGAGACCTTTGCACTAGTAAGTTGCTTAAGTAGAGGATCTCATCCAAGAAGTAAGAAATATGTATGATTTTGATAAATATTATTGGAATCTTGGGTTGGCTAGTAATTTTTTAAACTATTATTTTAGTGGAGAATGTGGCTTGGAAATTCAGAGAGAGCCAGCTAAAGAGCAGATACCTTTTACTATGTGGCCATAAAAGGAAGTGTGGAATAGAAATTGTACATGACATGAGGGTTTTGGGTGAAATGTTGCTGGTTATAAAGTTTGATCCACCTTGGGTAGTGGAAAGGTCTTCTGTGTATGTGGCAGGACCTGTTGGTCCCTAATTTTAAATCAAGGTCATAAACCATGTGTTATATGAGTATATTCCTTTATATCTTTTGGTGATTTTAACCGTCTCAGGAAACATGAAGGCCAAAAAATATTTATTTTGATAACTGTGTCTGTTAGGTTTGTACATATCCCCAGACAAACCTGGGCAAGGCAAAAAATTAAATATGCTCAACAGGGAATTTTCTCAAATTGGGAACAAGATGGCATGTTTTACCTGAAAACTGTTGTTTAAATGAGAATACTAGTCCCCTATTATCCCTTCATCCAATTTTATGAGGTGTCTAATTCCCTGGATTCCAAATTAGGCTCCCCTCCCCATCAATGCATTTCTAGAAGCTCCTGAAAGTTTATCTTTAAATGTAAATGACGTAGTTCCTTTTTATGAATATTTAAAATAGCATGTCCATCATAATAGTCTGCTTGATTCTGGTTATCACATCTGCAGCCTACTAATAAATAGTGTATTCACATTTGTGAGATGTGGAGATGTTGTGTTCTATACAGCATACTGAAAACAATATGTGTGTGTAATCTCATGTGAGTGACATTATTCACAGGTATTCAAAGGATTGGATGCTTAAAATACTTTATATTAATCTATATGGGGATTTGAGAACTTTCCCTCAAAACTGAGGACATATTAGAACCTGAAATCTTCTGTTATTTGTATATTAGTGGCTTATTTTATTTTTGCATTTAACATTAATTATATTTGTACTTGTATTCTTCTTGCCTATAAAGGTTTGAAAATATAAAAATTAGAGTGAAGTATTAAAATTACCTAAACTTCTAACCATGTAGAAAATTTAACATAGGAAGTTATTGTTAACTTGTTCTTAAAATATCCTTACTGTGTATTTTAATTACTTTAGTAAAAGTGAATCTACCTTTGTGAAAATTTTGCATCTGTTTGCAATTGAACAGCCAATCAACTAATGTATTAGTAAAACAAACTTTGCCAGTGAGAAATCTAGGGTGGGGACCAATTTTAAAAATAAAAGTATATGGTGTATATGTTATAAATGATTCTCTTCCCCTCAAGCCCTAGCTCCAGTGCAGTATAACAATAATTGAGTAGTAAAGATTGTTTACAAAACCTTACTCCCTACATAATGATCAAAACTTGTGGAAACATTTTATAAAAAGTCAAGCATCTGGTAACAATGTATTCAACATGCTAAGCTTCAAACAATTGAAAATGATCACAGTTGCACACACATGTTAGAAAATATACAGGATACTGATAACTTCTTTGAATAAATAACTAATTTTTTCTGGGTATGATATTTTAGACACTGAACAGTATCTAATTTTTGTCTATTACTTTTTATAATTAAAGAATGCACTGATAATATAGAACTTGGCAGTCTTGGAAATACTCCTTAGAAAAACAGATGGCCTTGAAAGAGTTCTGTTTCAAATAGGCTGTCGTATAAATTGTTTGTCTAGATTTTTTTTTGTTTTTTCTTAACAAGTCTAATTGTATTAAATAGAACATAACTTCATATTAGGTTGCATTATCATATTTTTTTATACTGACAAACCTTTGTCTTGATGTGTACTATCATGAAACATTTAAAATTTGTTTTCCAATGAGCAGAGATGTTCACGGCTACTTTAATTAGTTCTTTCAAATTCTTGATAAATATGGTTATACGTTTGCAAAGGAGCGTGCTTTCTCTCCCACTATGTAGTTGAGTCAGCCTTGAAAGAACTGTGATCTGGTCCCACTTAAAACTGTTTCCTATAGAGGTTTATCAACCTAGTGTCTGTAGTTGGCTAAATGAGGTATCTGATTAAAAATAAAAAGTCAAAGCACATTTGGAAACTGTTTTCTGGCAACAGATGTAGCTGGCAATTTGCAGCTAGTAAGATTTTTGCATTAGGTAACAGCCTAAAGTTAACAGTAGCATTGAGTCTTTATTTCTTTTTTGTCTTTCTCGAAGAGGGTAAAGGGAGAGCCTTGAAGAGTCCTTCCTTGCTCTTATCAACATTGCAGCCTCAGCTGCCCTCCTTGGATCCCCTGCCAGGGTTGCTATCATCTTCTGATCAAATATTAATGTGTGATTCTCTGCTTGCTCACTAATCCAAAGCCAATTAATATTATCTGTCAATTATTTACAGATCCTGAGGTGCGGAGGAAATTCCCGGAGGACTACAGTGACCAG